TTAACTTTGAAAGACTGAAGAATCAGGGGAAAAAAGCCATGAATTCTATGTGCAGTATTCCCCTAGTGCTGGCGTTCTGAGGTTGTCATTGATCAGTAAACTTGGTCTTGGCTGGCTGTTCTTGCTGATCTTTTGGGGGAGGAGCCTGTTGCTGTGGTTCCCAACTGTCTTTGCCGGAGGCGGAATTGCCCCGCCCTTGCCGGTCCGGCCTGAGTAATCTGCTCGGGTTTGCTCACGGGAGCTTTTGTTCCCTGCAAGCTTTCCCTATAGCTTTGGAGGATGAGAGTGAAGATGGCAGCCTCCCAATCTCCGCTCTGGAGGAGCTGAGAACTGGGGGTCCCACTCCTCAGTGTGCCCCCAGAGAAAAGCAGTCAGTCACTTCTGTCTCCCCGGTCTCTGGCCGTACTCTGTGCTCTCCTGGCCTGTGACTGAGCGTTTCTATCTCTGGCACCCGGCCCCGTGTGGAGTCTCCAAACCCAGCAGATCCCTGTGGTGTGCTCCTGAGCCGCTCCTCCCGGGGGAGGCAGGGGAGTCTCCCTGGATCTGCCGCTTGTTGGGTCCCTGCTGGAGGAGCAGTGGCCCGACTGTGCCGTGGATCACGGTTTATGGCAACCCTAAGCTGAGAGCCCCACTCCTCGGCTCCGTCTCTGCAGCCGGCTTCCCTGCTCCAATACCCGGGAGCTCTGCCGCACTCAGGCACCTCCAGTCTTTCTGTTACCCCGAGGGTCCCAGGACCACACTGTCCCAGCGAGGGTTCCACCCCCTGGTTAGCCACTGGAGCGACGTCCCTCCGCTGAGCAGACTTCTACAAGTTCTGGTTTTGTGCTCTGCTGCTCTATCACTAGCCAGAAGCGGCCGACGGAGGCCCCTCCCCCGCCGTCTATCCTCCCGAATATCGCCTCGGATTCACTTCTCCGCACGTCCTACCTTCCAGAAAGTGGTTGCTTTTCTGTTCAGAGAGTTGCTGCTCTTATTTTCTTCTATGTCCTATTGAGTCTGTAGGTGTTCAGAGTGGCTTGATCCCTATCTAGCTGAATTCCTGGGACCAGACGAAATTTAGGTCTCCTACTCCTCCACCATCTTGCTCCTCCCCCTTTTGCCCATTTTCTAATGGAATTTTTTTCTAACCGTTGAGCTTTGAAAGTTCTTTCATATATTCTCGGTGCTAATTGTTGGTTGGATATACAGTTTGCAAATATTTTCTTCCATAATTAAGCAGAATTTAAAAAGAACTGAAAGTAATAATGAGCTCATGTGCTGAAAAAAAAAAGTAAAATCTTGTGGTACACACTTAAGGCTCTGGTACTTAGTGTTGGATTTGAATTCAGACTATACCATTTATTAGCTGTGTGACTTTGAGCAAGTTAGTGAGTATCTCTGACTGATGCTTATCTGCAAAATAGAGATTTAAAACAGCATCTATTTTATGGAATTGTGAAAATTGAGTTAATATGAAGATCTTGAATATTGCCTGGCTTATAAGTGCTGAATATGTATTGGTTACTATGTTATTTTTTTTTTAAAAAGCATGCATTCACTTACTTGTCTAATACTTTTTTTTAAAATTACTTCTTAGTGGTTGGATTTCATCCCTTACTGGCCTCAACCAAAGTATTCCTGTTGGAATTATGATGATAATCATAGCAGCACTTTTCACAGCATCAGCGGTCATCTCACTAGTTATGTTTAAAAAGGTAAGTGATTTGTACATCTGTAAATTTTTATACTTAATCTTGTTCAGTTCCCATGTTACCATTTTACTCTTAATTCATTGTACCCTCAAGCTGTTTTGTTGTTCATCTTGAGCATCTGTGCTCTCTTATGATTACCTTTTACAATTATGTTAAGCATAAAGAAAACTTCATCACATTTTTAACTTCCTGTAAAAAGGAAGTATCTTAAAATCCTGTTAGCTCAAGGTTTTTTTGATGAAGAGTCAACCTCATTTAAAAAATTTTGGAATTAAAAAAAACCTTCTAATTTCTTTTTTTGAATATAAAGCATATTAGCCTGATTAATACATAGAAGTAAATTTGTGTGGAATGTGCATTTTATTTGTATTTAAAATTGAAAGACATGAAATTAGGAATATAAAGTAAGCTGGTGAGAGGTTTGGACTGGGTTATAACATGAATTTGTTTTTAGTGACTGCCCAATTATCTTACCTATACTTCTCGTATAAAATTCCCATGGCTGTTTTCTTAGCCTTAAAAAAATCATTACATAGGGTGAGAGGGAAATCAGTGGTTTTATTTGTTTATTGAAAGTTTTACTGTGTCTCAGATACATATTTTTGATATTCTACATGTGTTCAAACATGTAGGTTCTACATGATATAGAAACCCTGGGAATAACCCCTGTGTTTTAAGATGATAAAGACTTTTTGATGGGTCTCACTTTAAAGAAGATAATTCCTTTGAACAGTTTTTTCTTTATTTTTTTCCTGTCTGGTAACTTGAGAATATGTACAAGGAATACTTAGAAATAACTGTACTTTGTATTTAAGAACACTTTGTACTCCTGAAATATTTTTCTTGTGCATTTGCCTTTTATTCTCAAAACTCTGAAGACTAGGCTGTGTTCTTTCTGCCCATATTTCGCTACTCATTTTTTCTCTTAAAAGCTATTACTTCTTTTCTAAACTACACACATGTACTATCGAAACTCAGCTTCCCAAAGTTACTAAATTCTGTAGCCTTTTTGCAGTTACCTTTTTCCTTGAACTCTGCAGTCTTCTACACTGCAGGTGGCCCCTCTTCCTCAGTCTTTGTAATTGTGTTCTGATTCTTCTGCCTTTGAGGCTGTTCTTTCTTCTTCATTTCTTTGTCCAGCTCCTAAGTACAGGTCTTCTTAAATGAAATCAGTTCTCTGCTCTTTGTGCTATATAGTCTTTTTCCTTGGAGATTTCAATCTCTCCCATTTTTTGAGTTCCTTCTCTTCTCTGTCGCCCTAGAATCTTGGAGTTGGAAGACATAATGCTTTGCATAAAAATGTACTTGCTTGATCGGGTGAGTGTTTAGGTCTCCAGTTGGTCGGTATCATCATCTTACAGTAATGCGTCAGTGACTCATCAATTCCTTCTCAGAACTAGCTCTTCTTCCAGAAGTTCAGATTCATAGTTAAGAAACATTTATTAAGACCACATATTCTATGATTTCATTTATATGAAGTGTCCAAAACAGGCAAATCTCTAGAGATAGAAAATAGATTGTTGGTTGTTTTTGACTGGGAATAGGGCAGAGAAGGATTGCTTATGGTCATGAAATTTCTTTTTGTGGTGATGAAAATTAGATTATAGATGATATATTCACAACACTATAAATAAGTACTAAACCCCATTGAATTCTACACTTTTAAGAGGGTAAATTGTTGATTATGCAAATTTTATCTCGGGAGCTATTTTTAAAAGAGGAACATTTATTAATTACCTACTATAAATTTGGTGATGCTAAGTATTTTCTCATGATTCCATTTAAATTTATTTCAGCACTTTGACTGCTTTTGTCAGTGTTTTCATTACTTTTTAAGTCACTTTCCTAGATACTTTCTTAGCATCTTTTTCATCTTTTTCTTCCTCTCCATTCCCAGCCTCATCTAGCCCAGAATTTTTTTGCAAGTCACTCACACTCCCAACTTCCTCCAGTCTGTTTTGTGTGTAGTTAAATGTTAATCTAAAAAAACCCCAAACTCAGCACTCTGAAGATTTTTGAAGTGGACTGAGTTGGGAATGGGATTTTGGTGGTGATGGGAAGTAGGGCTAGTAGTGACCTTTTACTGCTCCTAGATCCAGACTTTCTCCTCTAGTCAAACTGTATTTCTAAGTTTCTTCATATATATCACATATGTTCCTTTGTCCCAGTTTTTGTTCATGCTAGGCCTCTTGACTCCTGGGTTGCTTCATCTTCTATGCCAGTTGAAGACCTATGAGTGTTCTTTCAAGATCTTCATGCCTCTTTCACAGAATCTCTCATTACTCATGTCTCCAGGATTAGGTCATCCTCTCTTTTCTTGGGGAACTTACTGTAGGTATTACTCACTGCAGCATCTGGGCACAAGCCACTTTATATACCTTACATTCTGGGTACCCAGCTTGTTAAAATTCGTCTGGGTGAACATGTCTTTTAGCATTGGAATGAATTAGAAGAGCGAGAGCTTTGGAACCATACACTCAGGTTGAAATTCTGGTGCCTTGACTTAGAGCTTTGTGAGCTGAGGCAGGCTTCTCTAACCATTGAGGTTCAGTGTCATCACCTGTACTCTAAGTTCCATGAGAGCAGAGACCTAGTCTGTTTTCTTTGAGGTTATATTTCTTACATCTGGAACAGTGACTGGCAGTGATTGGCATGTGATAGGCACTCAAAGTACTTGTTGAATGAAGGAAGGAATGGGAATAATAACTACTTCCAGAGTGTTAGGGTGAGGGTTAAGTGAAACAGGGAACATAATTTGCACAGCACAGGGCTTTCTCAATTAAAATTAACTATTTTTTTCTGGTCTTCTTGACCCCTTTATCAGTTTATATACAGGGTCTGGTTTAGTGTCTACTTTTATTTAGTAGATGCCTGTGTCAATCAGTGTTGTGTCAGAGAAACAGAATGAAGAGATTTATTGAAAGGAATTGGCTTATGTGGTTGTGGGGGCTTGCTAGGTTAGTCTAAAATCCATCAGGCAGGCAGTCAGGGAGGGTCAGAAAATCTCAAGCAGAAGCTGAAGTTCCAGTCATAGGTGGGATTTCTTCTTCCTCAGAGAAATGTCAGTTCTGTTCTTAAAGCCTTTCAACTAACTGGATCAGGCCTACCCACATAACTCAGAACCACTCATTTTCTTAAAGTCAACTGATTAATAATCACGTGCACAAAATACCTTCACAGCAACACCTAGATTAGTGTTTGATTGGTAACCGAAGACTATAGCCTAGCCAAAGAAACCTGACCATGACAACATCTCTTTGGACATTTCTTTAATTATTCTATATGTATCATTGGGGGTGCTTTATAAAACTAGAAATGTAATAAGTTTAGAGTACAGTGGAGGATTTTGTGGTATGTTGCAGATTCCATTCATTTGTTAACCATTTATGAGCATGTGTTATGTGTCAAGTACGGCACTATGTATGAGCTCACAGGGCATGGAGCCTACATACATACATACATACGTACATATATATATATATGTAATATATATATGTATCTCCATATATATATATATATGGAGAGAGAGAGAGAGAGAAGATATATGGGCATCAGATTGTTTTCAACTTTGAATCCAGAGAGTATAAAATAATGCTGGAGCACCAAAGTATAAACACACAGTAGGCTTTTGGATGTATAAGTTGGGAGCAAAGGAAAGAGCTTTAGGCTGGATTTCTAGACTTGGGAAGTGACAACTTCTTGATGTAAATGAAGCCTAGAAAGTGGGTATGGTAGTGAGATGAGGGTAGAACATACTGCAGATCTGCTGAGGAAAGAATGTGGGGGATTTTAACCAGTGGTGATGGTGCGTATGTGGCACAGATTATTAATCCGGTCAGAGTGTGGAGAAAGTGTTTATTCTACAGCTGCTGTGGAACTGACTGCTGTGTGCAGCACTCTGAAGTCTTTGACCTGCAGCTTTTCCCCCAGGGACACAATTCTTTAAGATCCAGCCCATTAAAGGAAAAGTTTTAGAGCCGTGCTGGTTGTAGGCCAGGCATTCGAAAGAACTGTGACTGCTTCCCAACTAAATGGATTAATATGGGAGTTGTGCAGCACACTTTCTTTTGGTTGACCTTTTTTTACCTCATAGTTGAACTTACCAGTTAACTCCTTTTATACGTGTTCACTGTCAGTCAGTGCAATACCAGTCCCTGAACTTCTCTGAATCTCATATTCTAGGGGAATAGGAATTTAGATGAGATGATTTTCTGTATGATTTTATGAAGTACAATAAATGGGGATAATATAAGCTAAAATACAATTTGAGCTCAGATTTCATACTTGTAGTGGCAAGGATTTCTCTCTCTCTCTCTCTCTTTCTTTTAAGGATTTTATTTATTTGAGCGAGAGAGAGAGTACAAGCAGGGTGAACGGCAGAGGCAGAGGGAGAAGCAGGTTCCTTGCTGACCAGGGAGCCCGAAGTGGGGCTCCATCCCAGGACCCTGAGATCGTGACCTGAGCCAAAGGTAGACGCTTAACTGACTGAGCCACCCAGGTGCTCCTATTTCTCTTACTTTTGATAGAAATTGAGATCCAGTAAAAACGCCCAGCAAACAGCTGAAAGCATACTGGCTGTTTCCTCTGTGTGTATGTAGCCATAGTTGCTAACCACTAGGGGTCAGGCTCTTCATAAACAGTTAATGCCCTCCAAAAGTTCCCAATGCACACTATTTGACTCTAGAATTGTTTCATTTTGTTAGACTATTCTGTGTCTCCAGCCCCAGCTAAACATGCTTGGTGGTATATATTTATTTCATTTATAATGAATACAATTTTGAGAATTCTTTTGGCATTCTGATTCGGCCTTGCATAATCAGATTAGATTGTTTCTAAAAGGTATTTTTTTTTAAAAAGGTCTTCTTTCGATAGTAAATAAATAGAATTTTAAGTTATAGTTTTGGACTAAGGAGGAGGTATTGTCAGTGGGTCATACCAGGGGAATTCAAAAATTTCCTTCTTTTCGTTGGTGTAAGAGCCAGAATAACTTAGTATGGAAGAGA